CCTCCTTCTCCCCTTCTCCCCCTTCTCACCTCCTCCTCCTTCTCCCCCTTCTCCTTCTCCCCCTTCTCCTCCTACTCCCCCTTCTCCCCCTTCTCCTCCTACTCCCCCTTCTCCTCCTTCTCCCCCTTCTCCTCCTACTCCCCCTTCTCCTCCTTCTCCTCCTTCTCCCCCTTCTTCTTCTCCCCCTTCTCCCCCTTCTCCTCCTGCTCCCCCTTCTCCCCTTTCTTCTTCTCCTCCTTCTCCCCCTTCTCCTCCTTCTCCTCCTACTCCCCCTTCTCCTTCCCCACTACTCCCCCTTCTCCCCTTCTCCTCCTTCTCCACCTTCTCTACCTCTCCATAAGAAAGTACTGTATAAGTTGTGTCAAACATTCAAAGAAATGTTGTAATTCAGTTGAGAAAAAAATAATGATAGCATAGAAATCTTCTCAAGATCTGCTCTGAACTAAAAAAAGAGTAACATAAGTATATGTTTCTTGTGAATTAATTTTAAAAAACAAATTATAAAAGACTGCAAAATATAGATAAAATATTAACATACTGGTAACAGTTATTATCATTGCATGTTGAAATTAAAGGTCATATACATGGATCTGATCTACATGGGAAGTAGAAAAAGACAAAATCTTCTGAGTAAATTGGGAGCATGGGGACCATGAGAGAGGGTTGAAGGGAAGGGGAGAGGTAGGAAAGGGAGCAGAGAAAAATGTAGAAATCAATAAAAATCAATTAAAAAAGAAATTAAACATCATTTTAACTTTCTTGTTTTTGTTTACTTGTATTCCAAAAATTTCTATGATTATATATCCTATTTTGGAATAGTGAAAAAAATTTAAAAACAAAGGAAAACTATTAAGTATTGTAGCTAACCAGCACTTTGGAGGCTGAGACAGGAGGACTGTGAGTTCAAGGGCCAGTTTGGGTTACATACTAAGACCCTAACTCTTAAAAAAAAAAAAAGGAGAGAGGGATCTGTTGAGAATCACTGACAATGGGGGACACATATACTTTATTCTAGCTGAGGCAGGAGGATTGCTTGTTGCAGGCTAGCTTGGGCTACAAAGCAAGGCCTTGTTTAAGATAGACAGAAAGATGGATTGACAGACAGATAAGAGATAGATGGATTGACAGACAGACAGATAAGAGATAGATGGATGATAGACAGACAGACAGACAGACAGATAGACAGACAGATAGAGATAGGTCTTTCTTTTACACAGTCCAGAGTGTTCCAAAGCAGAAACTAAAAACTCACATCAATGTTATAAAAAAACTTGTATCCTAAAATTTCATATTTGAAGAACTATAATTGGTATTGATAATTTTTAAAGTTGACACGGATAGTTTTCAAGAGATTTAAACCCTGTAGGTTTTAAAGCAAACATTAATCCATTCTTCAAAGAAAACCATTGGTTAATACATATGACATATATTTGCTTAAGCTGCCTCTAATAAGGTTGGATGTTAAAATATGAAAGTCAAAAACATAGCTTATGACAGCCAAAAAGAAGTTACAAGATATATATATATATATATATATATATATGAATACAAGAAGTTACAAGATATATATATATGAATATATATATATCTGAAGGATTAAATGATGAAAATTCAAGCCAAAATAACAAGAAAAATTATTCAAATCATGATGAATGCAACTTTCCAAATGTCCCTAAGAGAGAGATAACAGGAAAGCCACAGGGAAGAGGAAGTCACTGTTAGCCCAACCCCATACAGGCATCTTGAACGCAGGTAAGACATGTGGTCCTCGGCCCTGGCCAGTCTCCCACGGCCTCACACACTGTTGTGCTGACTGCTCACCTTGAGCCCTCCTAGTAAAAGCTAGTGCAGTGGGCATGCATGGCTATTAATCGTGGAGGTGAAAACTACTCGGACATTCTTCTTAATAAAGAGAGGAACTAAATAGATAATAGAAAATTCACTTAAGATAGTTTTAAAACCATACTCACAGTAGTATTGTAGACACACTGGATCCTATTTCAGATTTGGCCTAAAAAACAGAAACGTTCATTTGCACAAGCATTAAACCAAAGCTTTCTTTGTTAGATGACTGCATTTTTAATGTTCTTGATTTAAGAGCTTCATATTTTAAATATACAACCCAATATTTTTCTTTACTCAGTCTTTGAAGCTTTGCTGAAGTTCAGAACCAGTGAAAACTAATCTTGAGCACCTTAGGAAACTTTTAGAACTGGCTAGAACAGTGCAGCTGTTGCTGAAGGAAGGACAGGCAGGCAGAGACCTCACTCTTACATGTCTGCTGCAGTCTGCCTGTTCTTAGGGCTGTAATGAAGGTCTGACAGCCTGTTCTCAGCACTGTGTGATGATACTAATCTTAAGTCCGAGAGTACCCTAACCTACACTTCTTAAAAAGTCAACTTGGAGCAAGCAGAAGCCTGAATTCAAATGAAGCATGTGCTGCTAAAAAACAAAAAGCCCTTTGCATACATCTATCACGCGTCTGTGCACACGTATGACACCACGGCCTGCGTGTGGAGGTCAGAGGACAACCGACGGGAGTCAGTCATGTGGCTGTGGTTCTAGGGACTGAACTCAGATCAACAGGACAGGCAGCAAGCTCCCTCATCTGCTGGGCCATCTTGCTAGCTTCAATCTACATTTTACAGGTTAAACCAACTCTCTGCATCAAATAGTAATTAACAATTATTCTTTTTTATTAATCTCTTCTATAATGAAGTATTTCCAGATATTACACACACACACAAACACACACACACACACCCCACACACAATGCATACTTAAAGGATAAAGAAATAAATCTTCAGATTAACCATTCAGGAAACAAAACCTAGCTTGTTATGAGGCTTTAAACCCAGCACTGGGAGTTCTAGGACAGCCTGGGCTACACAGGGAGAATTTTAAAGTTTTGAAATTTAAGTCCCAGCAATGCTGAAGAACACATGGGCATTCCGTATATGGCAGTTCTGTTGAACTTGTTCATATTGGGTTTCATGATCTAAGTTGATGAGGACGACTGACCAGGTCTCTTCCTCAAGAGGGCATCAGATCTCATTACAGACGGTTGTGAGCCACCATAAGGTTGCTGGGAATTGAACTCAGGACCTTTGGAAGAGCAGGCGGTGTTCTTAACCACTGAGCTGATGAAAAGTTTTTGCACCCTGCTAAAACTCTCTGCCAATGCAATAATCCAAATCAGACCAATCAAATGGAATTAGATAAAGCTCAGATTTAATGGATACCAACGCTTCTGGGTACCCTTCCAGCCCCCTAGAGAGGAGCCAGGGAAGGAAGACTGAAAAACATGTGTTTGTTCTCTGGGGGCAATTTAAATAGCCCATGGGAGTGGTCTTGAGCATGTCTGGGAGGGGTCACCGTTGGGCTCTCTTGGAGGTGGAGTCTGGACTGAGGCAACTCCCAGGGGAGGGGGCTTGGGATGGAACTTTCATCCAAACATTCCAGACTCTTTGGAAATAGGGATGCCAGGAACTGGGTAAAGTTTCCGCCCAAACAGGCATCTCTCTTTAAAAGCAAACAAATGAAAATGAGACAAAGAAACAAAACCTCATCAGTGCATTCAGGAACCCCACAAACTCTTGCAGGTCCCTCCTTCCTGAATTACTACCCACTTCATTGTGTGCTTACTTGTAGATTCAGAAGTCTCACTACAGACAGCTGGCCTGAAACTTGTGACCTCCTGTGCCATCTTGCCTGGCCTCTTCCACCGTTCAGAAAAAGCTCCCCTACTCTTGTATGTAGCCTTGAACAGTAATGTCAACTTCTGAGAGATTTGGAAGTTTGTCAATGGTATCACTACGGAGTCTTCTGAAATTTACTTTCTTAAACAAAACACAGAATACAATCATCTGAGGAAACCCTAACATCGCTGTCTGTATCAGAATATATCTTCATTTCCCCTTTCCTTTATCCTATTGCAATTACACTGACGTTTCCCTCCATGCCTCAGGGAAAGCAGGCCTGTTGAACTCTCAAGCAAACCGTCTCTGACTTAGGAAACTTACCTTCCTCTCATTACAGACTGCTTTTCCATTTAACACTAAGCAGTAACATAAATTCTATTCATCAAGAAAAGGACATCTTGGAGCTGGAGAAAATGGCTCATTGTTTAAGATTCCCAGCATCCACATGGTGGTTCACAACTGTCTGCAACTCTGGAGCCAGGAGATCCAGCATCCTCTTCTGGTCTCCATGGTAGACAGATATACCTTAAGGCAAAACACCATGCACATAAAAAGGCCCCCAAATTTTTAAAAATAGAAGTATAAATAAATGAAAAGGAAAGGCTAAGCCCAATGTGGTACACGTTTATAACTTCAGCACCAGGAAGTGGCGGCATGGAGATCATAAGCTGGAAGCAAGCCTGTGCTATGGAGTAAGACACTGACTCATAAAGTTAAAAACTAAACAGACAAAGCGAGTGTCAGGGACGGTCACACAGTGAACAGCACAGGTGAAGAGCCACGTTCCAAGGGACTAATCCGCTCCACAGTAACTAAAATGGCAATCCTGTGCGCTGCTCTTTCAGTCAAGGTGCAGACCGAACACAGCTGCGCTGTTTCCTGGGTGGGCTTTAAACATGAGCTTACCAGACTGAATGTTCCATACTCCTCCCGGAGGAAATGTGTCAGGAAGCCTCGCAGTGTCGTCTGGTCCCCCCAGGTCCAGCGGGCGCGACTGAGGTAGGATGACACCGGCAGGTAGACATAGGGCAGCAGGCCAGCAGAGAAGGCCAGAGCCAGCCTCAGCAGAGAGCGAACGGCCAGCTCCTGCACAGAAGCACACAGTGGGACATGTTTATCTCAGTCCATTCGTCCTGAGCTTCAAAACCACATCAAGGGAAACGTCAACTGTGTTTGTTTAAAGCTGACCTCTCGATTTATATTAAGTCACCACAGAATACTGTGCTAAACCTTCTGATTACTGAGGATTACTAGAAAATTGCAACAGCCTGGATTCCTTTTCGTGGCAAAACCAGAGTGGAGCAAATATTAGCAAAGACTGTAAGTATCCAGTGTGCTGCCACGTTTACGTTTAAACCACGCCGTGCCATGCAGCATTACACTGTTGAGATGACCACTTGGAAGTGACTGCATCCTATTTAACCCCTAATCCTATCTTATGCTAATTCACTTCACCTTCATCATTAGAAGTGGCTTTAACTGTATACTTCATTTCAATCACACAGGGATGACGTAATTCTTTCCAGAGCTTTGGACATTTCACGGAAGTGTTTGGTGTAGACAAAGCTAGCTTTTATCCCCATTTCTCTCCCCTATGTTTAATGGAACACGAAAGGAATTTGCTGTTCCGTGTAACCCATGTTGTTTCATGTGCTCTACCGGAAGGATCCTCACCTGTGCATGTCTAAAACAAAACAATATGAAAACAATGATAAAGATTAAGTCCAAACAATATGAAATCCGGCATTCTAAAAACATTCAAGCCTTGTTTGCTTTAATAACTGGGAAAGGGGATCTCTTATAAACATCGGAACCAGAAACTGCCACCTTTACCCCTTATAAAACGAGAAATTTATCTGTGGGAAAGAATATAAGAGCCAGGACTTGTTCGGCAGATACTGTAGAACAAGCAGCCGACTCTCTTTGCATTTTCATACAAACATTCTTAATTGAAAAGGAAGTGTTTTCTTATAGTACTGATTTCATACTCCAGCAGAAATAAAACACACAGAAGTCATAGCATGAGGACAGCAGAACTGTCTCACATGACAGCAGGCAGTTGCTCTTCTTAAAAGTGGGGCTAGGCAAGTGGATGTTTACAGTTTTGGAGACACTGCACATTGTGAAGTTGAATTTAGAATTGCAAAAAGCCAGTTATTACACTGTTTTCCTTTTGTATAAGAAGTAGGCAGGGACAGTTACATAGGACTGTCACGGACGGATGAGCAGAGCTTCCCTGTCCTGGCTGTACACTGTGATCACCTGACAGGGACTTCTCCCCTCACAAACACAGAATGGTCCGGTGGTGGGATTGGGTTTCTGTAAAAATGCACACATATAGATATACCTATGTACACCTGTAGAAACATACACAAGCACTCACACATTACTACCCAGGTTCCCTTGACTCCCCTTCTGCTAGTTAATGGAAATGAAAGAGCTACATTGAAGAGACATTGCTCAAACCTGAGCACTCATCAGTAGCCTACCCCGGATAGAGCTAGTCCTTAGCCCAGGCTCTACAGTGTTAAACTTGAGTCCTAAACACTTCACCCAACTTACATGGCCTGCCTTCCAATCAACTGGCAGATGCTTCCCATAAAGTAAACCTGACTCTGCTGAGGCCAGCAGTCTGAAACTACAGCAGCAGAGCTGCCTGTCCACCCTCCAGGGCCCCACTGACTCAGGAAAAGCAGATGAGCTGCCTCAGTTTATATCCCATAGAAAACCCGTTATTGAATTACAGTCTTTAATGTTAACTGTTTGCCTTAAATTCATATATTTTGAGATATAAACCTGGCTGCCTTTAAACTCCCTGTGTAGCCTAGATTGGCCTCAAACTCTCAGACCTTCTGCTTCCGACCCTTGCATGCTGGGGTACAGGTATGTACCACCATCTAGACATGTCTTCATCTATTATCCAAGACGTACACAAAGAGCTTCTGTATGGGCTATTAAACCACACTGTTAGCACAGAGACCTTGGGTTAAGGAACCAAACATAAATAAAGAACAGTCTAAAAGTGCTGGTTAAGTTGTTCAGTATCCCCCATGTGAGGACTTATATGACTGACGTCACCGGACTAAATTCTAAGAGAAAGTTGCTTTTGGCCACTATTGTTTCCTTTTTATAATCACATAATAAGAATTTTATAATCTCCACATTACCCTCTTTTGCTTTGTTACCAAGATGTGCTAAAGTATAGTAAATACAATTACTTAAAGCTTTAGTATAATTATTTCCTTATTTCCTAATAATTTTATTATATGCTTTATGGGTTTTTATTATAATTCCAATTGTAGTTGGGTATAATTAACAGATAATGAGAGGTAAATATCACTGAGTTTGTTAACAAAGAAACAATAAATGAAGTGAGCTCCCAGCACTGCTTTACAAATGGCTACAGTTCTGGAGGAGCTCACACGGAACTCAGGACATTTATTTACCTTCCTCCCACAGGCCACGACCACCTCACTCCCTGCCTTCTCCTACCTGAATCTTCCAGCGCCTAACAAAGAAAATTCTGCATTGCTTCTCTCTGCCATGTTAATTAACAATAATGTTTTCTTTCAGAGAAAGATAAAAGGGAAATGAGCGGTTTTCAATTATAAGGAGGAGTTCTGCGGGCTCTGAGGAAACAGGACCAGCTATCACTTCTGACTTCAGTGAGCTCACGTCAGCAACGGTGCTGTCTGTGTCTTAGGCTCCAGCACCTGGAGCAAGCGGGCAGCAAAGACAGCACCCAGCACTCGAAGAATGAGGTGCTGGTGCTTGACTGCATTGAATTTTAGGACGTGCAAGAAAACCATTTAGGACACTTGATACTGCTGCTCTCAGTCCCTTCTGTTTCTTCTCACTGAGGTGCTGTCAAGAATCATGAGGAAAATCATGAAGTCTGCCAGATGCCACCACAATCAATATTGCATAATTCTGTAAATCCTCTTTTTAAAGTCAATATCGTTTAAGCCTCAGGTCATTTATGCTTTACATAAAACTCAAGAAACATTAAAGCCCTAATTTTTCAGATAACACAAATGCTGAATTGAACCTATATGAAGTAGTATGAATTTTAATTTTTGTAGTAAAAGAACAAACCTACCTTCTCTTTCAGAAGTCGGAAGAGAATCCAGGGTATTATGCATAAAACATAGAGTACTATTGTGTGCTGGTTACACAAGCTAAGGCCACAGGAGAAAGCCCCAATAACGGCTATCTGAGAACGAGAAAGAAGCACTAGTCAGAACGTCCCCTAGAACTCAAACAGCAGTAAAGATCCCGATGCACCCGCAAAGCTTCTGCGTGCCAGGCAACCAGAGCCAGGCCAGGCCCGAGATGCAGAGCATCTCATCAGCGGTCACCCTTGCTGGTCAGCAGTGTGCTGGGTCATTTCTCTCCATTCTCATAAAACCCTAGTCTGACCCGAAAACCATCTTCACACTGACTCCTAGGTAGCTCCTCACAACGACGGGATACTATGTAATTCCTAGCTGAAATCTGTCACTGACGCTCAGCAATTCTGCGTTACGTTTTCTCCTATTCAGTCAGTAAAAGTTTATTTAGAACTCTGCTTCTCTCAGAGGGGCTTTCCGCTGTTCCTGAACACGTAGTTGTTTCAGAACTGCTAAAGATGCTCTCCTTGAGCACACGGCAGACAGGCTCCTTTGAGCTCTTCTCCGCTGTCCACTTGTAGCACAGATCTTGAATGCCCCACTTACACACCCATCACACTCTACATCTCATGGGGCCTGCTCCCTCCCAAGAATCTTGCAAATTTGATTTGGCCCAAATTCCCCTCTGTCCGTATCTTTCATTGATTCCTTGCCAGATCTTTAGTTAGAAATTCCTACTTTTCTTTATATTTGGAGTTAAGTTGACTACTATGGTGCCTATAGCTGAATCCAAGAAAGCCTGCTTACACCCCTTAAGAAGGAGATGGCATGTATATACCACATGTTTTTCTTTAACACAATCAGAAAAGAAGGTTGTTTTAAACAAAACACTCTAATAGCATTTGAGATTTATGAGAAGCACAGATAAAGCACAGTATCTTTTGTTTCTGAACTCTAACAACAAGGTGGCCTGAACTAGGATGATGCAACCCCGCAAGGTGTAGGACTAAGTGCTTAGAAGACAAGGCTCTGTATATGACCATGGTGCTGATCCCCTCTGAATAACCTGGTTTTTATTCTGATGTTCTTCTAGCTAAAAGTAATTTATAACTGTGTTCTTTCATGTGACCAGCGAAGAATCAGCGTACTACCATAGTACATTTTTTAAGTTGTTCCACCCGCAGCTTGGTCTCACAACATGCGCGCGCGCGCTCACACACACACACACACACACACACACACACACACACGTATGAACCAAACCCATCCCTCCCTCAGAACTCGCTAGATATTTTATAATACCCATTCTCCAAAACTTTCGGAACTCCTGAGGTGGGAGTACCATGCTTGAGAATTACCATGGTTCCATTTCTAACAAAGGGTCTGAGGACAATCTCTCCACCTGCCCAGATTACCCTAGTAGGAATCAGAATAGAAAATGTGGGCCAAACCAAAGTTAAAAAGAAATACATTTCTGTCTAAAAATTGAAACAAAACTGATTTCACTTTGATCAAAATACCTTACCTTTGATCTCTCCTTTGCGGCGGCTGCCTCCTCAAAACGCACGGTAAGCGCCATGAGCAGCCCCACAAACAGATTGTTTAAGCTGAAAACCTCAGCTGCAATGGACCACTGCCATGTTAGGCGAGAAAATGAAAACACCCCCGCAGCAAGGATTCCTCCAGCATGTGAGCCAGAAAGCCTGCAAACACAGATAACATGAAATCTCTTTCCAACAAAAGGAGCGGACTTGATTTTTCTTTCAGAAAGTCTACCAGCAGAAATTAAGACAATCACCCAGCCCTCTCCCAACAACTATAACCAACACATTCTTCACATAATTCCACCAGACGTTAGTTCGGAGGCCCACATGTTAACAAAGCCACAGGCCCAGGGACAGAATGAGGTTCAGTTCTCAATGAAGCTCTAGGACTTGAGCCAGGTCAGAAAACCTGAAGAGATAGCAGCTACAGATAATACTGTCAGTTCCCTGAACATCCGCAAACGAAGACGGCCTAGTTGAAACTGAGATCTGTTTAACTGTGAAGCTAATGAAATGGCGAAACCTCCATTCAGGACCCTTCAAACTTCACACCTCATGAACGCTGGATCCCCATGCAAGATGGCGGAGGGCTCGGTCAAAGCACTTGGCGATCTCAACATCTTGTGCAGCTATGCTCTTAATTTCTAACTGTTTTTTGCTTTAGACAGAGTGAAGATAAATTATATTTTTCTAAAGAGGCAGATAAGAATATAAATTTCAAGAAACAAAGAATTAGATGTTACACTTGTAAACAAGCTGATCACTAAATGCCGACAAGAGTCATGCGGCAACCCCATGGGACTCTGCACCTGAGCGTGGACACGCGACTTGAGACTAGGAATATGACTCAGCACACCAAAGCATGTGGGGCCAGATAATACAACCCAACACGCCAAAGCACGTCAGGCCAGAACAATTCCCACCTCGCTATAAATCTATAACTACAAAACTTAAAACAACTACAGAGTATTTCAGGAGTTTTGGAAATCCAGTAACTGAGTTTCCAACAGTATTAGGCAATTAACCATCATTTAATATTTTCAACTGTATTAGAAAATCGAGCAACCATTACTAGGCCTAGCAATTATGACACTAATTGCTCTAAGCCATTAGTTTTCAGATATTTTGTTATTTTTTTAATAAAAATTATGAAGTAGCCAAGTAGTAGTGGCACATGCTTTTAATCCCAGCACTCAAGGAGGCAGAGGCAGGTGGATCTCTGCGTTTGAGGCCAGCCTGGTCCACAGAGTGAGTTCCAGGACCGCCAGGGCTACACAGAGAAACTCTGTCTTGAAAAAAATAAATATAAAAAAATTATGAAGTGATTTCAATTAACCACTTTAGAAAAATAGTTAAATAAAACTTTTGACATTGGAGCTGGAAAAATGGCTCAGTGGTTAGAAGTGTGTATTGTTCTTCCAGAGGACCCAGGTTCAGTTCCCAGCACTTACATGGCTGCTCACAACTATCTGTAACTCCAGTCCCAGGGGATCAGATGTAGAGCACCCAATGCCCTCTTCAGGCCCCCTCAGACACTGCACGCACACAGTGTACCGACATGCATGCATGCAAAACATTATACACATAAAATATTAAAAAAGAAATCAATCTAAAAAATTCAATATCCCAGGAGCTGAGATTTAGTTCAGTGGCAGAACACATGAGCGGTATACAAGGAGAACCAAGTTTGACACATAGAACCAAAAAATAATAAAATCCACCCTTATCAAACTTGTTTTCTAATTTCTATTTGTGATTTGATTTCTGTCCTTTGCTTTTTTGTTTTTGTTGTTTGTTTATTTTTCAAGACAGGGTTTCACGGTGTAGCCCTGGTTATCCTGGAACCCACTCTGTGGACCAGGCTGGCCTCGAGCTCAAAGATATTCGCCTGCCTCTGCCTCCACTGCCCAGCTCTTTTTTTTTATAAAAAGCAGAATTTCTGCCAGGCAATGGTGGTGCATGCCTTTAATCCCAGCACTTGGGAGACAGAGACAGGCGAATCTCTGTGAGTTCAAGGCCAGCCTGGTCTACAGAACGAGTTCCAGGACAGCCAGAGATACATAGAGAAACCCTGCCTCGAAAAAAAATTTAAAAAAGAAAAAAGAAAAAGAACTTTCCATGTTGTTGAGAGTTTCTCACTTTTCCAGAGATCCTGACTCAACTCACACAGTTACTTCCAGCTGTTCAGTGACTTTGCTCTGCTCTGCTTTTGGGTTGAATTCCTACTGTCTTAGACTCAGCTTGTCTTTTGTCTTCGAATCTATTCTGCAATTTATTATATTAAATTCCTTAAAAACATTCTCTTCATGACTACAAGGCCCCAAACTTCCAAACTCTTCACCATCTGCATGTTTTCAGAAAGCAACCAGCCTGGAATCCAGTCTCCCACTAGGCTGGATCCCATCCTATGGCTCATACCGGCATTATGATGTCTGTTGACTAGGTGTGTGTCTCAAAACTCCCAGCACAAGCTGTGGCTCATACAATGCCCTTCTTTCTTCTCCATCTATATTCATATGTTACTCTTTTCTCAAGTGTCTCTTCAATTCTCTGAGTACCTCTAGCATCTGCCTGCATTTATATTATAAGCACCTAGCTCCGAGCACACAGAGGAAACAAAGAGAGAGTGAATTAGCCTGAAAAGTATTTCTGGGTTGTGTTTTTTTTGAGACAGGGTCTCACAATGTAGTCCAGGCTAACCTCAAACTCACCATAATCCTCCTGCCTCCACCTCTTGACTTCTGGGATTGTAAATGTGCATCACTACAGCTTTACCACTAACAACTGAGCAGAACTTAGTTTCGTCTGTCAAGTCAACTCCGGAAAGCTGTAAAAGACAGCATCCTTCTTCCACTATGACATAAATTACCACCCTGGAAGAAATGACAGATTGAAGGGTAAGGACAGAATGAGCCTGAAACAAATTCATTTCTTAAAAGTTCTTTGTATACAGCCCTCCTGTACACAGATGATAAAAGGGCCGAGAACGAAATCAGAGAAGCATCACCCTTCACAATAGCCACAAATAGCACAAAATATCTCGGAGTAACTCTGACCAAACAAACAGAAGACCTGCATGACAAGAACTTTAAATCTTTGAAGAAAGAAATTAAAGAAGACACCAGAAAGTGGAAAGGTCTCCCATGCTCTTGGGTAGGTACAATTAGCATAGTAAAAATGGCAATCTTACCAAAAGCAATCTACAGATTCAAGGCAATGCCCATCAAAATCCCAGAAAAATTCTTCAAAGACATCGAAAGAACTGTACTCAACTTCATATGGAAGGAAAAAAAAAACCCAGAATAGTCAAAAAAAAATCCTGTACAATAAAAGAACTTCTGGAGGCATCACAACCCCTGACTTCAAGCTCTACCACAGAGCTATAGTACTGAAAACAGCCTGGTATTAGCATAAAAACAGACAAGAGGATCAATGGAACCAAATCAAAGACCCAAATATCAATCTACACACCTACAAACACCTGATTTTTGACAAAGAAGCAAAAATATCAAATGGAAAAAAGAAAGCATATTTAACAAATGGTGCTGGCATAACTGGGTAACAACATGTAGAAGAATGAAAATAGATCCACATCTATCACCATGCACAAAAGACCTCAACATAAAGCCAACCACACTGAACCTCATAGAAGAGAAAGTGGGAAGTACACTTGAATGCACTAGCACAGGGAACCACTTCCTAAACAGAACCCCAGCAGCACAGACACTGAGAGAAACAATTAATAAATGGGACCTCCTGAAACTGAAAAGCTTCTGTAAAGCAAAGAACACGTCAACAAGACAAAACAACAGCCTACAGAATGGGAAAAGATCTTCACTAACTCCACATCATACAGAGGTCTGATCTCCAAAATATACAAAGAACTCAAGAAATTGGTCATCAAAAGAACAAATGATCCAATAAAAAATGGGGTACAGAGCTAAACAGAAAACTCTGAACAGAGGAATCTAAAATGGCTGAGAGACAAGGAAATGCTCAACATCCTTAGCCATCAGAGAAATGCAAATCAAAACAACTCTGAGATTCCATCTTACACCTGCAAGAATGGCCAAGATCAAAAACACTGATGATAACTTATGCTGGAGAGGTTGTGGGGTGAAGGAAACACTCCTGCATTGCTGGTGGGAATGCAAGCTGGTACAGGCTCTTTGGATGTCAGTGTGGCTATTTCTCAGAAAATTAGGAAACAACCTTCCTCAAGACCCAGGAATACCATTTTTGGATATATATCCAAAGGATGCTCAATCGTGCCACAAGGACATGTGCTCAAATATGTTCGTAGTAGAATTGTTTGTCATATCCAGAACCCGGAAACAACCTAAATGCCCTTCGACAGAAGAGTGGATAAGAAAAATGTGGTACATTTACACAATAGAGTACTACAAGGCAGGAAAAATAAAAGACATCTTGAAATTTGCAAGACAAATGGATGGAGCTAGAAAACATCATATTGAGTGAGGTAACCTAGACCCAGAAAGATGATTATCATATGTATTCACTCATAAGTAGTTTTTAAACGCAAAGCAAAGAAAACCACAAATCACAATCCTAGAAAACCTAGACAGCAATGAGGACCCTAAGAGAGACATACATGGATCTACTCTACATGGGAAGTAGGAAAAGACAAGATCTCGTAGTATATTGGGAACATGGGGACCATGAGAGAGGGTTGAAGGGGCAGGGAGAGGCAGGGAGGGGAACAGAGAAAAATGTAGAGCTCAATAAAATCAATAAAAAAAGAAAAGAAACACACACACACACACACACACACACACCAGCAGACTTCTAAAGGTGGAAAAAAATACATTTGCCTCTCTTCTCAGATTAGGTTAAGTCACTAAGTTATAGGCTCTCCTGATACCATCATACTTAGTCAGTTGAATTAGTAACTGAATAAGCTCTTGGTTAATTACCCATTTATGTTGCTATACCTTAAACTATATATGATAGAAAGTATTTCTAGTTTTGGTTGACCCTCACACCCCAGGGCATCTCAACAGCTAAGATGTTGTACGCACACGCACGCACATACACACACAAACACTCAATGAATAAATGTTCTGTCACTGACAATACAGAGTACAAATGTAACAGATACTCTTTGGGGGAGCAAACACATGCAGTTGATGTAACACTAA